CCAGTCCCTTCGTCTCGTCTCGGCGGCCCTTCGCTGGACTTGCTCCAGGAGGCGCGTGTCCCTCTCGTCCTGGCGAGCCCACGACGGGACATCTGCACTCCAGACGGGTCCCACCAGCGCTGAGCAGAAGGGAAGGATCACCTCCCTCAGCAACGCTCTGCCTAACGCAGCCCAGCGTACTGTTGGCCCTCTTTGCCACAAGGGCACCTTGCTGGCTCACGGTCAACTTCCTGTGCCCCAGGACCCCCACAGCCTTCTCTGCAGAGCTGCTTTCCAGCCGGTCAGCCTCCAGCCTGTACTGGTACCTAGGCTTATTTCTCCCCAGGTGCAGGGCTCTGCACTTCCCGTTCCTCAACTTCAGGAGCTTCTTCTCTGCCCCTCTCTCCAGCCTGTCGAGGTCCTTCTGGGGTATCAGCCACTCCTCCCGGTTTTGTATCATCCGTGAACTTGCTGAGGGTGCTCTCTGTCCCTCCGTCTAGGTCCCAGAGGAATAAGTTGAGCAGTAGCGGACCCAGTATTGACCCCTGGGGGACACCACTAGCTACAGGCCTCCAACTAGACTTTGTACTGCTGATCACAGCCCACTGAGCTCTGCCATTCAGCCAGTTTTCAGTCCACCTCGCTGGCAAACTTGCTGAGAGTGTGCTCTGTCCCATCATCCAGATCGATAATGAAGAAGTTGACCCAACACTGACTCCTGGGGTACACCTCTAGTTACTGGTATCTACCTGGACTTTGAGCAACTGATCACAACCCTCTGAACTCAGCCATTCAGACAGTTTTTGATTCACCATTTCTTGATTAGAAGGTCTACTCTCTTCAATTCTGCATCCTTTGCTTGCCAACCCACTCGATGACTTTCTGTCCTTTGTAACACAGCAGGAAGTTCATTCCAGCTCTGGATGTTTGTATTACCACCACTATCTCCTCTGGTGGTCTCCCTGCCTTCTGTCTTGGTGCAGTTTCTCCTTCATTATTCACCAAGCCACAGCCTTAGTCACAACTGCTCTCGCGCATGGGGAATACAGGAGACGGCTCTCAGCTCTTCTGCCCACTAAGATACAGATGCATTGCCCAAGAGGACAAAAGAAGAGAGTGTCACTGCTAGAGCCTGAATGAGAACCTGGAGCCACAGAAAAACCTGCCCCAGTACTCTTCTACTCTAGTGCCACTTGGTTTACTAATTCTAGTGAAGGAGTTCCTCCTTCCTGGAAGAGGAAGAGGGATGTCTGTATCAGCAGAGGAGTAAGCAACTTCTCAGAGACTGTAACAGAGAAAATACATATGCTCTTCCTCTCCTTCAGACCATGGATTTTCTTTCATGAGCAGTGTCCATTTGGAGCAGGGCCCTTCCTTTAAGATCTAAGAAAACTTTGTCTGGCAGTTCTGCACGAAAGTGCTCAAAGGTGCTGCCTTGAAAAACACTAGGCATCTGCTGGGTTGTCCACCCCCTCCCACATAGCCCTATAAAGTGGCAGACACACTGATGGATAAAAGCTGCTGTCAGAGCCTCAGAGCAATCTCTTAATGCAGCTGCCTAAATTGCATCACTCTCTCCCATGACATTTCAGTCTACCCCTTTCCTGCTCCTCCTGATGTCCAGGTCACTGGTAAAAACAGCTCTGATGAGGTGTGCCTGTGAGTTAAGCTGTTCCTTCAAAATCTACCAATAAAGACAATTATCATGACCTGTATTACAGCAGAATGTTGTCATTCCAGGTAAAGAGCGGGGTCCTGCTACGCTAGGCAATACATAGCCTTATAACAGGGGACAATCCCTTGCCTGAAGAACTTGTAATCTCATCTATAGAGATAAAACAGACAAAGATAGAAGGTGTCATTTTTCTCTCTCATTTTACAGGGGAGGAACTAATTCTTTGGCTAAGATCACAGAAAGTCCTTATTAGAAGGAGGAGCCAGGTCCCAGCTGCTGAAAGTGCTGCCACTTATCTATCTAACAAGAAATCCTCCTCAGTGAGGTAAGGTGCAAACTCAGAACTCAGGGACTGTATCCCAAGTGTGATCACCTGTCCCTTTCCATACCCGAAAAGTAAAAGTAATAATGTTTCCCATACCTACCTCGAACTCTAGGTAGTGGTCCTTCAGCTTATAATCATCCACTTCCTTGCCTTTGAGCTTCTTGTCAGGAGGATAGGAGCGATGCTCGGCAAGCTCAGTGGAGATCTGCTTCAGCTTAGCTTCATGGGATTTCAGCTGTTCATCCTTCAGAAACACATTAGGCACTTAAGAGAGAGAATCTAAAATATTCAATAAGCAAAAAAAAATAAAGAGAGATCCCTGTACAACAGTACCAGGCAGTTTCTTTTGCTTTCTCTCTTTCTTTCTTTGAATTAATTTTAAATAAATTGCTAACACCTATTCTAAGCTCTGTCCCCAACAGCAGTCTCAAAGGGGCCAGGGCAAAGTAGCTGGATTTGCAGAAAAAACTCAGCAGCTAGCAGATGCCGCTGGGAAGGACAGCAACCCTGCCATCCCTCACCTGGCTGAGGGCAATGAAAGCAGCTTGCTGCAGAGCATTACTGACAACATGACACCTCTAATACATTTTGTGGCAGATTAATTAAGGCTGTTGTATGTAGTCAGTCCAAGGGCAGGATTCAGCTCCCCGTCTCAGGTCTCTACTATAAAAAGTAGCTCCTCCTAAGACAAAAAGAACATACAGACAAAGCCCTTCCTCCCATTACTCTACTACCAAAGGCTCACTGGTCTGTGGTTTCCATTCGTTCAGAACAATGCAATGCAATGCACCCAGAAGAGGAAGTCTGTCCTCTCCTCAAAAAGTAACTCATTTTGCTAAGCTGCTACCAACTTTTATCCCACTGTGCAGTGGGAGAGAGAGAGGAGCTGCTACTCTTTCTTTCTAGGCAATTTCCTTTATTATAATCCCAAACCCACTCACTTCCTCCAGTCCATCTGTACATGGAACAGCTACCCTTCTCTTAGCTCAGGAGGTTTCCAGCTCCTGCAGCACGGCCTTCTGGCCATTTCTAAGCTTGGATCTGAAATTCCGCTTGCTTTAGATAAGTCTAAAATACAGATATGGTCATGCAGACCTCACTGACTTAGCCAGAGTCATAACAGCAGCCAGCTTTTGTAGTACCCAGCTCAGCTACCGGATATTGACCTAGCATCAGAAGAGGGAACTGCCACCAGTGTTTGTCCCCCAGTGGTGCAGCTGTGCAGTGTGCGGGTTCAAGCCTAACTGAGACATGTCTGTACTGCACTGTTAATCACATCAGGGATTTGAGCCTATCAGCTCACTTAACTAGAGGTGTGGAAAAGAGCAGAAAGGGGAAAAACTTCTAGAGCACATCAGAGCTGAGCCCCAGCTAATCTTATGTTTTCTCTCTTCCACAGGGAACTACAGAAGGAAATATGTGGGATAATTTGCCTCCGCCTCTACAGGGTAGGGCTCAAACTGATCTCTATTGGTTGACAAAAATTCTTGTTGCTGTTAGTAACTACTCTGGATCTGCTTGCTCTTTCTATTAGTGGCCAACCAGTCTTTAGCATATTATGCTAAATCCCTGGTCTCAGTGACATCCTATTGCAATGAGTTCTCCACATCCTGATGACAGCAGGTCTTTGAGCAACTATTAATTTGCCACTCCTACGTTCCAGGGCACAAGCCCTTTGGTGGGTTTGTGTGTGCATGCACACTCTCATAAAGAAGGAAAACAAACCTAGCAGATATTTTCTAGGCCAGTCATTCCTTTATACACTTTTTTCACAACTCTTCACAGTAACCAAGATCAGACACTGAAAGCAAACTTAGCACAACGATTTTGCAAAACTTGTCATGTCCATCCTCCCTTCCCAGCCCATGTTAGGTTCCCATTGCATCCTGAATTCTGCCTGACCAGGCCCTCTGAAGGACGTACTGCACATCATGATTCAGCCCACAAAATCCTAAACAGCAACTAGAGATTTGACAATTCATATTTTGTTGTCTGCCAAACAAGAAGAAGCCTGCTGGCAGCTTTTTCACACTGACAGATAAAAGCAGACATGTTTCTGCTTGTCTTTGAATTTATCTGCTTTGAACACTTAACATTCTTCTGCCTTTAGCCAAAACAGTTTATCTTATTCCACTTCTCATGGCTTCCCTTCTTCAAGGCACAAACCACAGGGCTGTGCGCTATTTTTTTCCCTTTCCAGATTAAATGGAAACAATGAGAGTAGGAAATAATATGCTAAATGGAACAATCATACAGAACAATGATGAGTAAAAAGGCTTTTTTTGGTGACTGTGGGTAAATTATTGAAACCACAAGTTGAGCTATAGCATAAAAAAAAGGTGAACAAAACTACAATCTATGAACAAAGGGTAAACCGCAAGGACAAGACAAGTTAGCATTATCCCCTATGAGACACACTTTAAACTTCAGCCGAGAAGAGAAGATGGAAAGTCGGTCACTACGTCATAAGAACGGCTACTGCTACGGAGAGGGAAAAAACAGGGGCAACATGAAAAGTACCACCTTAGAGAAATGTAGATCCTGAGATAATGGTTTCCAAGGAGTGTTGCTAAGCTGTGATGATGGCAAAAAAAGCATTTAAGAAGCAATCCTCTCCAGGGAGATGGCTTTAAAAGCTACAGGAGGTTATGAGCAAAGAATACCCCTAGGACCGGGTTCCGTCTCCTCCTGCCACATATCCAACCAGTTACACAGCCAGCGGTGTGTTCCTGCTGGCACAGGAGGAATTGCAGGCATGCATCACATCCCTTAAAGCGCACAGAGCTACAAGAGCAATTATCAGACATAGCCAGTTTGAAGCAAGCAGAAGTAGGTGTTTTTTCAGGCAAAAGGTAATAGAGCTGTGAAACTCTCTCTCATAGGATGCTGCGTACGCTAAAAGCTTATATGGTCATATATATACGGTCATACTAGCTGAGATCGAACATGTTTCATGAAAAAGAGTTCATAAATATACATAAAACAGGAAATCCCTGAGCTGATATGGGTTGAGGTCTGGAAAAGTATTAGGGAGAAGTATAACTGATGCTTGCCCTGGCCTTACTTTTCCCTTCACATTCCCTGACAGCAGGAAATGAGAGGGGTCCTTGGTCCGACTGGCCCAGTACTATTGTCATTAGCCAGTAACACTGGTGATTATTTCTTTTCTTCAGAAAAATAGAACCATTATATCCAAGCCTGATCCCCCCACTTAAAATCTTGCACCAGGAAACAAGCAGAGAATTACCCTGCTAACAGAGATCTGTGCAGGCCTATTTCTCATAGGAATGCCCTTGGTAACAGGAAAAAACAATTTTAAGAACCACCTGCCAGAATCCAGCTGGTCAGAAAAATCTCCATGACCTAGGCTCAAGATAAAAACAGCTCACCTGAGATAGCTTTGTTGTGGTGGCTGGCAAAAGTGGGCGACTGAATTTCTTCTGAGACCCAATCGCAGCTGGAAACGGTGGTGCAGAGAAGACAGCAGCCACACAGTTAATCTTGTTGATCCAGGCCTGCATTTCTTCTTGGCTCCTGAGGAAGAAACGCATACTGAACACCTGTTGATGCAGCCTTTTTTCCCTTGTTCTCTCCCCTTCAATTACATTTTTAAATAGAGAAAATAAAGAACTGGACAAGTTCTTACAGCCAGCTGAGTTTTGTGGCCTATCTTCGAGAGCAGTTAAGTGTCAGGTATCTCAGCCATAGGTTGGCTCATGGATAGGTCCATAACTCATCCAACTAAGCAGCATTCCCAGACTTGCTTTGCTGATTTTGTAGGAAGCTGAAGTCTTATGGCACCTCCCAAACCTGAATTCAAGCGTGCCCTCATCCTGACCACATCAGGGGCTTATAAACGCATTTAAAGTCGACGCTGCATCATTGCGCATCAAGTTATTGAAATCTGACAACATTCTCATGCAGTGTAACTTTTGTTTTCAGGGCTGGCTGCTCAAAGTAGTAGTCCTAGGAATGGGATGCGATATAAAGCCAGGATCTCTTGCTGTGTTCTCTCTTGTCCTCGTCCTTCCAGTATGGCTGCAGCTTTTCCTATTCCAACACAAGTGACACATGCCAGAGCCAACTGATGCTCCAATTCCACTATATGTCCTAAGGTTTCAGCTGTACCGCACCCCTCAGATTTCTGGGAGGTTTCATGTGGATCTCAGTGGAAAAGAAGGCCTCATGTAGAAAACCGATGCACAGGTTTTTAATACCAGAAGCAAAAGGCAGGTCATCTGTTCTGTCGGGCTATTACAGGCTGAAGAATTTAATCAGATTATTCCTACACTGAAGAGTAACTTTGTTTCTGACCAAAGTGTATCTTCTAAAAAGACATCCAGTCAAGACTTGATGACCTCAGGGGATAGACAATCCAAGACTGCCTTTGGTTATTTGTTTTAATGATTAATCACCTTGGATATTAAAAGTTTGTGCCTTGTTTCCAAATTGAATTTCCTGCAGCTTCAGCTTCCAGCTGCTGCATCTTGTTATGCCTTTCTCAGCTAGATTAAAAAGCCTCTTAAAAATTGATGTTTCTTTCTCATGAATGACTTATGCGACCTAACTAAATCACCTCTTAATCTTATTTTTGATCAAATAAACAGATTGAACCTCTTAAGTCTCTACCTTAACCTGCCCAGACAGGTCTTTCAGCACTGCTTGGCTTCCTCAGCCATTGCCATAATTCAGAAAAGAGAACTTACTGGGCTTGGAAAAGCAGGACCCTCCAATCTGCTGTTTTAAGCTTAAGGACATTGGGTTTCTTCTCATAGTCTGTTGCCTTGGATGCCAGTGCATGGTGCACACTAACTGCATTCTTCAGATCTTCCTCCGACAAAGCCTTTTCTGGTTTATATTCATCCTGCAGGAATTAACAGGGAAAAAGATGGCATATATTTCTCCATGTGACACTCCTCTTTCCTTACCTGAGGAAAAACTTACTTCCATATAAAGCTGTGAACATTATTAAAGTATATGAATTAAATGCAATCCGATTTGAGCACTTGCAGTTCATCAGGGACAGGGGGTAAAGAAGGAGTATTTAACTACCACAATAGCTATAGATTACTTGTCTTCACTTCAGGAATCCTACATGACCGGCTTTCCACCTCCACTTCCCAGCTGCTGGTTCCTGCTTGGGTTCCCAACTTCCACTGCCTCATTTTTATTTTTCTCAGTTACCTTTGGACTTCCCCCTAGACAGGCCTCACACAATGGAGGAGCTAATCTATCACTCTACAAAAAGCAAGCATGGGAACCTCCTTTAAATCTCTCCTTTGCTGTGGTCCTAAGGAAAAAAAAAACCTAGCAGTAGCTAGTCTGCCACCACACTGACAGTGTGATGGACACAACATCACCTCACAGTTTGCTTGTACATCTTTTTACACCTGCACCCATCTGTTGTCCTTATCACAGGAATAAAGAAGAAATACCTTAGGCTCTCAGGCCAGTTCCCAGTTACACCACTTTATATGATCTCTCTGGAAGCTCAGAGTTGCACATTCTGTGGGCAGGGATTGCCTCTGCTGAGGGTCTGTAAGTGCCAAGCGCAACACGGTCCTGATTTATGACGCAAAAATACTACCCGTAACAGCAAACAACTAAACAGGGGGTCAGACTACTCTGTGCCACAAGCATCAGCCTGGAAACAGTCTTTGATCTCCTGAGGGATAGGAGCTAGGTGAGCGTGCAACCATGGTGTTGCCATGAGTTCAAATTAAAGCTCACCTGCCTATAAATGGCTTGCTGAACATAAGGCAAGCCAGGAGCTTTTTCAAGGAAAGGTCACTCACTAGCAATGCTACAACTGTGAAAGCATATCCAAGTTCCTTAAGGAGAGGCTGGAAGCAGGCTATAACTGACTCCACTTCTCTCCTTCAGTGGCATCACAGAAATCAGTCTTGTCTGATACACGTGCCAAGAGAGGGAGTGGGATGGCTGCAAAACAGAAGAGTAAGTCCCAGCAGGCGTCACAGTTATTCATCGCTTCTCTCGAACAGTCCTTGCTTGAACACCCAGAGAGCTATTTGTCCCTAAGAAGAATGGGCTAAAGCGTATGAAACACATAACAAGACTTATCTGGTAGCTAACAGACAAGGGCTGCAGCCAGAGGCAACTACGTGGCATTCATGCTCTCTCCAGGCTAGATTTTACCCTATTTCTCTGTGGTCAGTTTCAGGGAATATGGAGTCACTACTCTCTCTCAGAGGACAGCGTAAAGCTTCCCACTCCTCTGCCACATCATTTCTTAATTGCCCATAGAGGTTCATCTAAAGCTGGCTCAGGACCTGCTGCTCACGCCCTCGACCAACACGTTAAGGAAGAGTTAGCTAAGCGGTTATACAGTCACAGCACTAGCTCAGTTTGGGGCCACACAAGGGCAAAAGCCACTGCAGATCGGTGGCAGACAAAGCAGAAAGGCTGAAGACTGTTGCACAGAGGACAGAACCGAGGTAGCCTTTAATCTAATCCTCCACAACATAAAGGGGTTTTCAAAGTCTGGTATTCTGGTAGTGAGAGAAGTCAAATCTTCCCTCTCTCTCACTGCTACAGCTCCTGCTGAGCCTCAGCAAGCTTTTGGAGGGAGCTCCGTATCTTGATGCACTCTGTCTGCTCCCATTCAGGGCACTCCCTAAACCTTCTTTAAGGAAGAATTAGGGAAGTCCACAGCCCAAGAACAAGCACTGAAGGATGTCTTGAAGATGGAGCAAGCAAGCCCCCAGGACAAGCCCCTTTCTTCATGGTTGCAGAAGCTGATTTATTGGGTAGTAGCTTTGGGGGAAATGACTGGGATCGCTATCCAGGCAGACTGGGAGAACTTTAGGGCCAGGAAATGAATTTAAACAGACCTCGGAAGAAGGACAGTCTGGCTTTATTCAAGGGGTTGCCTTTGAGGCAGTATCAGCTATCGCCTTGCCTGATGCTTCCAAGCTTTCTGTGGAAGGAGTCCAACAAGAGAAGTCCAACATTCACAACATGTTCTGGTACCTAAACCCGTTCCAGAAGAGTTTGACATCTGGGCAGTCACAGAAACAGTCCTCACTTAGGACCCCTCCTTATCAATGGACGGAGTTCGTGGTAATGCTTGCTAATCCCACTGGATCAGCTGTCTGTAATTCACCTTGACAGCTGGGCCTCTGCCAGCTCCTCCACAAGCACTGATCAGCGTACCAGAAATGTCTTCAGAGTAGTTGGCCAATCTCAGAAAAAGCTGGAGGGATGCGAACGTGCTGTCAAAATTCCTCCTCTAAGGCCTTCAGCTCTTTTACACTGGCAGAGAATGCTAAGGGTGCAATAACATCCACATCTCATATGCAACCAAGAACAGCACATGCTCTTATGTGCTGGTGTCAGCATGCAAGAGGAGCTGAAATGAAAGGCAGCTCACTCAATTCAGACCAAGACATTGGCAAGAGAATTACATCCATATCTGTATCAACTGAACGTTAATGTGAATATTTTATACAACACAACTCCATGTTGAATTTGTCTTTCTAAAACTCCCCCAAAATGACTTCTCCATTTTCCACTGACCTAGAGTCAGCACATCTCGAAATCCATTTCTAACACAGCAAAGAATGACATTTGGCTTTTTATCAGCCAGTGTACTCTGGGTGGGCATCTACGCTCAGCTACGAGTGATCGTTACAAAATCCTTTCTTTCAGAAAGCCTTGTCCCTGATGACTTTACATCATTCTGGCCTCTTTCTTTTTTTTGTTGCTGTTTGTAAAATATAGGAAATGCATTTTAGAAAAGCTATATAAAAAAAATACCTGAAAGCCTACAGGATTATAAAAAGCCACAACAAAGAGCCACAATTTTGCAGACCTCTCAGGAGAGCACTAACGCAACATGAAGGCCTGTGTCCTGCACTGTTTGCACAGAAACAATTTCTAGCAAGGAAGAAAGGTCAGGCTTATGTCCTCTCCTTATAAACCTCTTTTCTGCATAGGCACTTCACATCCCACATCAGTCTACTGAACAGACATTCTGTCAAGCTCATACTTTGCAATTTCCTCCTGTTATAAACACAGAGGAGAGGAAATTAACCTTGGCCTGAAGATGTCCAGAGACAGGTCCAACAATCCCAAACGTCAAATCTCTCATTTTACATAATATTGCAGGCATGTTTAGCTGGCTAATTGCGAATGTTTCCACCGAGCCCCTCTGGCAGTTTTTCTGCTTACTGATTCAGAAACCATCTCTCCCAAATCACTCATTTAAAAATTAAA